CTCAAATCCTCCAGCATCTGCAGTTCCTACTATCTCTGATACCTTTGCATAGCTCACAGGTTAATGGATTATTTCATTCAATATTAACTGTAGTTAAAGAGAAACTTATGAAACCAGGAAACTTTAGTCTAGGCTAAAGATAATGTGAGTTGGGGTTAATTTAACAAGCTACGAAATCAGATACAAGTTAGCCAAGAAATGATGATTCAGCAAAACAAAACAAATGGAAAAGCATCAATTTCTAATTCTAAAAAGGAATTGATGTGGGACTTAACAGATGGTTAGAAAAACGGCTTGGCTTTATTTCTTAAAATATATACTTATTTTTAAGATGCTTAAGGAAGTTAAATTGAGAAGGAGGGAAGGTTAAGGGGTGATGAGTCAAATTTAATTATTCAAAATCAAGCCACAATTTTAGATGGTTGGTGAAAATTTACTTTCACAAATCATTAGATTGGGACAAAATAGGTTAAAAACTCAGGGTCCGACAAGAAAAAGGAAGAGATTAAAACAAAACTTTCATGTTTAGAATATGGAATACTTTACCATATGTGTAATAAAAGCTGATTGAATTATACTTAAACTGGAATTGAGAAGATGAAAAAAAGGGGAAAACAGCATGGAAACAAGATTACATCAGGCAACGTGAGTGAGAGTGCAAACTAGCACATGAATGTGTTACTTCATTATGCACCAATATTAGTGTATTTCACAAAAAACAATAATGTTTTAAACTTTACATCAAACTCACCATCATCAAAGTCTCCACCCTGTGAATAATCTACAATTTTCTTGTTCCTAATAACAGAAAAGAAATATATGTCACAACCTAATAGCAGAAAACGTCTTATTAAAAAAAAACAGAAATATCTTTTGAAGAGTATTTCAAAATTATACTTAACTAAAAGGAATAACATTTCAAAAACCCATAAATAATAGGTGGCTTTACAGGATTAATGTTGAGAAGATTTTTCCACTAGTGGGGGAGTCTCAAACTAGGGGACATAGTTACAGTCTAAGGGGACACTCATTTAAAATAGATGTGAAGGAATTTCTTCTCTCAGAGTAGTGAATGTCTGGAATTCTCTACTGCAGAGAGTTGTGGAGGCTAGCTCACTGGAAGTATTTAAAGAAGAGATAGATACATTTTTAAACATCAAGGAGTTAAGGGCTTTGAGGACCTGACATGAGACAAGTTGAGACCTAGGGCAAATCAGCATGGTCTTGTTGAATGGTGTGGCAGGCGTGAGGAGCTGAATAGCCTAATCCTGCTCCTATTTCTTACATTCATATATCAGATGTTATGGACCAGACCAAACCCTGTGCAATTATATCAAGGAGATAGCTTAGACCATAACTTTTATCTTGTTTAAAGGCATATGTAAAGTGATGTGTTCCAGATCTAATTCAATTAGTCACACAACTCGGCTTTAAGCAAAACACACTTTATTCTTACCCTCAGTTAAAATACATACAAAAGAAAGAAGAATTGGAATAACTTAACTCTGTTGGAAAACTTAACAGAATAATAGATTATTTAACTACTAAACAGCAAATGTTCAATATCATAACATCCCATTTACACACCCTTGGCAAAGGCAAAGTCAGTTAAACAGATCATCAGACATGCGATTCTGGCAACAAAAAGAGAACCCAAGCTTTTAGCTATAATAGAGAAAGGAGTAACCGCTCCCTCAGCCAACTTCAAAACCCAACAACTACTGAAAGCAAAATTAAAACCCTAGTTCTGTGGGAACCCGACTCCCTCCAATCGTGCAGTTTCTACTGTTCCAACTTTAGAAAAAGAACCCAGGACCTCACAAGCTGTTTTATTTTATTGGCTTGGAGGAGACAGCTCAGCACCTATGGTTCCAAACCTCGCTCCAAAAAAAGGATAAAATACACCACTAAAACCCGTAGTATCGTCACACAGATAGACATCAACATCATATAGAATAGAATAGAATAGCCTTTTTGTCACATATACTCAGTGAGCACAGTGAAAAGTTTATACCTGGCCAATTATAGGACTGACTTCGATACAAAACTACATAGGCACAGATTCTTTAGTTAAAAGATCTTAGACGATAGAGAAATAAAATGTCCAGCATTACAGAAATAAAGTTCAGTACAACACGCCACACTGACACTTAGCTTCCAGTCCCAGTGAAATACTCAGGCTTCAGTTGAGGCAAAGTCAACGTGATATTTTGGGGGTCTTCCACCAATCTCCTTACCCCAGATTACGTCAGCTCTTGCATCTTTAAACTAAAATCCTTCCCTTTACTCTCATATTTGAAAGCAATTCTCACACTTCCTGAACGACACATCCATTTTTTCTCATCCTAGTGGTAACATTATTACCACCATAAAACCCTAATTTCATCACAACCAAACTTTTCAACCCATCCCCAAGCTATATCTCTGCTCACACTACTAGCGATGCCTGATTACCACCCTGAGACTACCTCTCCACTACGCAAATGTCCTCTACACACTTGGCCCACAGTTATAAATCCTTTCCCCAAATGCTCTCATTGTGAAGCCTTTCCAAGAATCACTATACATTTCACTGTATGCTGTCATTTGTACAACTATGCAAAATTCTGCTCATTTTTCCTGTAGACAACACAAATGGCATCTCCATTCTAGATCAGATAGGTCTGTTCCTTCACTACTTAGGATTTGTTGGTGACTGCTCCATTGGTGTTTGTATTTCCTAACAATAAGTCACTGATCCAGCACTTTCAGTTCTTAACTTAACTTTTTATTCATTCTATGGGCATCCCTGGCTGGCCAGCACTTACTGGCCATTCCTACTTGCCCTTCGGAAGGTGTTGGTGAGCTGCTTTCTTGAACATCCTGTCCATGTTCTGTCAGTAGACCCACAATGCCATTAGGAAGTGAGTCCCAGGATTTCGACCTAGCAACGCTGAAGGAATGGCAATACATTTCCAAGTCAGGATTGTGAGTGGCTTGGAAGGCAACTTGCAGGTGTGGTGTTCCTATTTATCTGCCGCCATTTGCTTTATCTGTTCCCATTCATCTTCCAGATGGAAGTGGTCATGGATTTGGATGATGCTGTTTAAGGATCTTTGGTGAATTCCTGCAGTGCAGCTCGAGATAAGACACACTGATGCTACTGAGCATCAGAGGTGGAGGGAGTGATATTTGTGGATGTGGTGCCATCCACAATGGTGTCAAGCTTCTTGAGTGTTGTTGGAGCTGCACCCATCCAGGAAAGTGGGGAGCATTCCATCACACTCCTGACTTGTGCTAGATGGCAAAAAGGCTTTGGTGAGTCAGGAGGTGAGTTACTCATTGCAGTATCCCTAGCCTCTGCACTGCTCTTGTAGCCACTGTGTTTATGTAGTGAAGTCCAGTTGAATTTATGGTCAATGGTGACCCCAAGGATGTTGACAGTGGGGGAATTCAGGTGATGGTGACACCAATGAGTGTCAAGGGGCGTTGGTTAGATTGTCTCTTATTGGAGATAGTCATGACCTGGCATTTGTGTGGCACAATGTTACATGCCACTTGCTAGCCCAGTCAAGGATATTGTCCAAATCTTGTTGCATTTGAACAATGGACTGCTTCAGTATCTGAAGAGTCGTGAATGGTGCTGAACATCCTCACTTCTAGCCTTATGATGGAGGGAAGGTCATTGATAAACACCTGAAGATGGTTGAACCTAGGACACTATTCTGAGGAACTCCTGAAAACATATCCTGGAGCTGAGATGACTGACCTCCAACATCCACAACCATCTTCTTATGTGTCAGGTATGATTCCAACCAGTGGAGGATTTGCCCCCTTTACCACTGATTCCAGTTTTGCTAGGGTACTTTGACGTCACATTCAGTCAAATGAGGTCTGGATGTCAGGGCTGTCACTCTCACCTCACCTCTGGAATTCAGCTTTTTTGTCCAGGTTTGAACCACAGCTGTAATGAGGTCAGGAGCTGAGACCCTGACAGGACTCAAATTGGGCATCACTGCCCAGGTTATTGCTGAGCAGATGCTGATTGATAGCACTGTTGGTGACACCTTCCATCACTTTACTAATGATTAAGTGTAGATTGATGGGGTAGTAAATGGCCAGGTTGAATTTGTCCTGCTTTCTGTATACATCTGTTCCCAGTTCCATTTAGCACCAAGCAGTCTTAACAGATTATAACAGATTCTCCTTTCTTTTTTAAAATAGATTAATATGCATGCAACAATAGTGAAAAACAGTCAGAAAAATACAAAATAACAATATACTGAGTAAAATGACATTATTCAATGTTCCTACTTTTTTAATGTACATTAGAGTTTCAAACATTCATTTTTCTCATATTTCAAATAGTCTCTTGGAGCTTACTTCTTTCTTCATAAAGTAGCCAGAAAACAGACTGCTTCTTTTCACCCATTACAATTTGGAGATTTCCCTGTTCTCCACATCTGTTTTAAAACCGCAATAATGATCTTCAGTCTTACCTCATTCACACATTTTATTGAATGTACATTATGCAATAGTGATTTATCATCAATGCAGCATTCAATGGGTATTGCTGCAAAATGCCTTTTTCAAATACTTTCAATAATTTCACAAGGGAAAATACGACATCTACTGCCTCAACAAGAGCAAGAGATTCTGCTAAGGTAATTCTTCTGAACTTTTTAAGCTACCCAAACTAAAGGGCAATATTTGCCTCCCTCTCCCAAAATAAATATTACAAAATTTCCTGTGTTTGGAACAGATAGAAATTTGTATAAAAAGGATCAATAGAAATATTAAGTTTCACATTCCTTGTTTTTTACCAAGGATGGAAGTTTGAAAACACTATGCTCCATTCTTAATTTTTTTCGATGCTTTGTTCATCCAAATAATATCTTCCACTTTGGGGTTTTTCGCTGTCAACTCTCAGACCTCAAAATTAGCATCTGACCTCATTTAGATGTACAGCCAATTCAGCTGTCCAATTTGACTTCACAATTCCTCCATTTCATATTTGGAAGATATAGCATCTTTTCCCTACTTTGACTAACTGTGATGGAGTTAACATTTTCTAAATAAGATTGCTATGCAAAGTGACACTCCAATCATTGGGTCTGATTTTCAATCCAAACTATCTGACCATAAGAACTAGGAGCAGGAGTAGGCAATTCAGCCCTTCGAGCTTGATCCACCATTTGCTACGATCATGGCTGATCTCATCTCAGCCTCCACTCCACTCTCCTGCCTGTTCTCCATAACCCTTCAACCCATTAGTAATGAAAGATCTATCTATCTCCTCCCTAAATTTACTCAATGTCCTGCCAATCAGTGCACTCTGGAGTAGTGAATTCCACAGATTCATGACCTCTGAGAGAATTAATTTTACCTCATCTCTGTTTTAAATCTGCTACCCCTTATCCTAAAACTGTGACCTCTCATTTTAGATTGCCCCACCTAAGCTGTATACGCATGAACTGCTCAATTTTGCTTCATGAGACAAACCTGTCATCTCTGGAATCAATCTAGTGAACCTTCTCTGAACTGCCTTCAATGCAATTACTTCCCACTTCATGTTAAGGTACTAAAATTGTCGGTAATACTCCAGGTGCATTCTCACCCATGCCCTACATAACTGCAGCAACACTTCCCTACTTTTAAACTCAATTCCTTTCTTAATAAATGCCAAAATTCCTTTTGCCTTCTTTATTACCTGTTGTACCCTGCATTCCAGCTTTCTGCGATTCATGCATGAGGACTCCCAGATCCCTTTGCACCGAAGCATTCTGAAGCTTACTCCATTTAAAAAAGCAAGTTGCCTT